AACAAGAAGAATACTGACTGGGAAGACACTTTCCTCCCTGTCCACAGTACCAGGACAGCACACTCCACCCAGTCCACCAGGAACACATCCTACCCCATCTGTGGTGCCAGAACACTTCCCACCCTGTCTGTTTGAGCAGCTGAGTGGGGTCTGAAATTGCAAGTCAACAAATAAAAAGGGGTAAAGAGGTTGGCCATCAGGCAGCGTTAGTATAGTGGCCTCAAGGATAGAACCACTGTCCCAGCCAGGCTGGGGTTCTGATGCCTGGGGAAAGGGTTCTGGATGGTTTCTGGTGTGGTGTGTGTGAGACTGATGCTATGAGCGTGTTTGGCTGAGATGCCTACAAGGGACAGGCTTGGTCCTTACCTCTGAGGAGACAGACGAAGCTGTTCCCACTGGTCCACAGGATCATCAGTGTTGAATGGCTGTGATCCTGGATGTGAACCTTTCTTTGGTTTTTGTAAGTCTTGGTTTCTGGCTCTGTAAAATTGGAGGGTCGATGCAGGCTTGTTGCATGGCTGGTGTGTGTGTAACCATGAAGGTTTTAAATGTCCTGAGTGGAATCAGAAGTCATTTTCTAGACTAGGTGGCTGAGAGGAGAGAAGGAGGAGGCCACATGTCCTCAGAGCTCTGACACCCCTCCAAGCCTGCCACTAAAGTTAATAGTAGAGGTGTCCATTCCAGGGAGTTCAGGGTTCAGGTGTGGAGGGAGGGTGTGTAGCATAGCTTCCCCAAGTGCCTTGGTGAACTGGGTGGCCCAGTGGCCCAAGGACTATGTGTCCGTCTCCACTCTAGCCAAGTGCCTTGGAGGGAACATTACAGGAGCATCTGTACTCCTTGGGTTGCAAGTTCCTGCCCCATTGACCCTTTTTCTAAAGGCCATTTCCTGTGGCTATCACAGGAAGTGACATCATGGCCACGGATGGGTCTGTGGAGGGTGTGGGAACAGGGCTGGGTGAGAGGCCTTCTTTGTTAGGAGCAACTTGGTATCCTCCAAGCTGGCTAGTCCCCATTTGTCATCAGTAACGGGCATTGTGACAGCCTCTGAGGGGGACCACGGACTGAACCCCCATAGGAGCCAGGGCAGATGGAGGCAGAGCTTTGTGTCCAGGGAGAGGTCTAGCCTGTGGAGTTTGTGTTTTTAAAACATAATAATAAGTTGGCTTGTCTCCTCCAGCTCTGCCCGCTCCCCACTGAGCACAGCAGCCAGCAGTGAATGGGAGAGATTTTCCATGCAGTGGGAGTTGGGGCTGGGAGAATTAGCTGGTGTCCAGAAGCTGAAGAACCACAGTGATTACTGATGATAAATGTGCCCAGCGTGGGGCAGCTCCCCTCCTCCCCTCCCTGTCCTGTGCCAGCCAGTCCTGGACACATGGCCCTGTTCTGCTTTAAATAGACGTCTAGAACTGTGCCAGGGTCCCTTGGTCCCAGGGACACAGGCCAGTGATGGAGGTGTCGACCCTCCCCACCAAACTGCAGCTTTGTACTGGAACCTCCACCCTGGGAACAGAGTCTGGGCTGTAAAAGAATGATGGGTGCTTGTATCCCAAAGTAGGACACTGGGCATATACCTGCATCCTGCCATAGCTGACCATCTTTCTGAACCATTGACCCTGAGCCAGAAACTAAGCTGTGATCTGGCTGGGTTAGTTGACTGTGTGGTATTGATTCTCCCCCTTCCTGAGCTGGTCACACAGCAGGTCTCCAGACCATCTTTCTTTAAGGCATTCAGGTGACAGTGGACCAAGGAGCCTGAAGCACAGGTCCCCAGCTCCTCCCTCCTGCTACACCGACTGCAGCACCACTGTTCGCAAGGCACACTTTCAACTGGTTCTTTGGGTGACCTTCATGGTTGCCCTGAAATGAGGCCCCAGAAGCAGACCACCTTCTCCAGATCTTCTGGTTCAGACTGAGGATTTGAACCAGGTCAGGGCCTCTGGATAATCTGCCCACTCCTCCCCAGCCTGAACCTGGGGTCAAGGTCACCACAGGGGAAGCAAAGCTAGTCTCCCTTCATGAGGGTGACAAGAATACTTGAGCAACTGGGTTTGGTGGCACGTGCCTGTAATTCAAGCACTTAGGAGGCTGGGGCAGGAGGATCACAGATTTGAGGGCAGCCTGGTCTACAGAGTGAGACCCTTTTAAAGGAAGGAAGAGAGAGAGCAAGGGAAGGGAGGGAGGGAGGAGAGAGTGCTTGGGCTGGGGCATCTGGGAAACTGGTTCCTTTTTGGTCCTCTGTCTCTTGCCTACTCTAGTGCCACAGACAACCGTGGAGTAGGTGTCTTCACTGCCCACTGCCAGCATAGCCCAGCCCCAGGGGAGGAGCCTGTGAACTGACTGATCTTGCCACCCCCCACTGCTCTTCTTCAGCATCCTGGCATGAACACTGAGGTCCCTCGGAGAAAAGTGGTCATCCCCTGCCCTCCAGAACAGCCAGTAAAACGGCTTAAGGAGGCTTGGCGCTCCAACAGACAGTGCCTGTGCGGCCCATCAGCTCCCCACCTGCTCCTGTATCAATGGCAAAGATAAAAGGGAATTTATCACTAATAGGAGAGCTGGGTGGTGGCTAGATTCAAACCTGGCCTTAGAGACAGGATAAAAGCGAGGTTGAGACCAGCAGAGGTGGGAGGCTGTGTGACCTTCAAGGTTAGTGTCGTGGCTGGAATGGCCAGCCAATGGCATCTGTGAGTAGCTGTTGCTCTGTCAAAGCAGCCCAAGGAAGAAGGGTCTTCCCAGGTCCCTAGAAGTGTGTGTGAGTTAATGTTGGGCAGGGGGTAGTGGCATTTAAATCACCCCCATGGAACTCTCATTCCATAGACTTGGATGGTGCACACCTGTGATCCCAACACCTAGGAGGTGGCTCTCAGGAGGGCCTGGAGTTCAAGGTCCCTCTCACTCACCTGGAGTGAGCCCAGTCTGCGTGATGCCTGGTTGGACCCATGACTTAGGGCTGTGATTCCCACACTGTATGTCACCTCAATGTGCATTTTTTAATCCTGGGGAAATAGTAGCAGAAACTCACTATTTCAACACTAAAGTTATACCTGGCCATTCTTTAGCTGGCCATGCCACTGCAAAGCTGGGCTGTGGGTACTTGGGAGTAAGGACTCTGCTTTGTTCACACACCATTCCAGTTAATAAGTTGTTGAAATGGAAGAGAGAGTGAGGTTGGTGTGTGTGTGTGTGTGTTAAGATCCACATGTGAGAAAGAACATGAGGTATTTGTTTTTCTGAGCTCAGGTTATCACACTTAAGATAAATTTCCATATCCACCCATCTCCCTGCAAATCTCATTTTTCTTTGTGGATGAATAACATGTGTATGTACCACATTTTCATTATCTGTTCATCCAAATTGATGGGCATCTGTGCCCATTCCATTTCCTTGCTATTGTGAGCAGAGCTTCGATGACCATGTATGTACAATTATACTGGGTATTTTTCCAAATGGGGAATGAGCTGTTAGGAATAAATTCATACTGAGTTCTTTGACTCTGACTACGTAATAAATTCATCATTTGTGAGTTCTTTGTGTCCTTGTGATACCATTAAAATTGATCTACTACTACTACTACACTAGAATGTGTAGGTGCTGTGTTGAGGTTGATCATGAGATGCATTTAGGGGCTAGCGAATATCCTCTAAGCAAGGTCAGGCAGTGTAGCCCCCAGAAACCCCAAGTACTTCATCCTTGGCTGTTGCCACAGGACCTGGTTGAGGCTATCACACCTGGGCTCCTGCTGTACCACAGGGGTGGGGCACAGTCTGAATGTTCTGTTTCTTGGGTTCAAACCTTAGCTCTACTGTGTGATCTAAAGCAACTTGATCTACCTGTTTGGACCTCAATTTCTCTTCTGTTTGATAACTCAGCTGCTCCCAAATACTCAATAGCTCACTGTTTGTATAGACAATGTGTCCTTACCAAGTGCCAGGCCATTCTCAGGACCATCAAGTGATCTCCAAAGTACCCCCTCCCAGTCTTCCTCAGCAACAAAAGAATGGACACCCGTGAGGATGCTGGAAGAGATGGGTTCACACCCCATTGGCTTCTTGTTTACTGTTCGGTCCATGCACATTCTCTCTCCCCTACCCCACTAAAGCCAGTATCTTATCCAGGTCTTTTCTCCCAAAGCTACCCCAGTGTTAAGAGAGTCGCCTGTTGCACACAGAGAAAGAACAGGCATGTTTTGCAAAACTGTGTCCCCTGCCCTTCTGCCTGCAGGGGGATTCCTTGGGGCCATACACAGCCTTTTGACCCTGAGGGACAAGTGCCTCCCAGGATCCCACTTCCTCAACAAGCACATGGCTGGTGTGAGGGGCCTCATGTGTGCACGCAAATAAAAAAACACATGCCACCCTGTGCTTAATCCCACTTTCCTGGGAGTAGTGAGCGTGGAGCACAAGCCCCCCACTGCTGGTCCTGAGCTGCCTGATTGTTCTGTTTGAGATGCAGAGCCAATTATCCTAAGTGAATTGTGACCAATCACAGGCCTGGCCTGCTTTCCTCCCTTCCTGTTTGTCTCACCTCCCAAGGTGCCATTCTTTCCAGGGACTGAGACGTTCCCACCAGGCCACATGGGGGAGGGGTGGCCTAGCTGTGTGCTCCTATCTTGCTAAGGGTGTGAGCCTGGGCAGAGGCTGCAGGATGCTCAAGCCCTGGACTTGGCACTACCCCCACACCCCAGGTCCTGGACACTTCTGTGTCACCAGCGGTGCTGGCTGGGACTGCAGAGGGCAGTGGTGGCTTTGGGGCAGAGCTGGCCTGCTTTGTGCTTTAGCCTCAGCCAGTATAGTGAGGCTTCACTGTGGGAGATGACTGAGGCCAGGCAGAGCCACCGCAGGAGATGTGGGCAGGTCCAGTGCTGATGTCCTCATCTCTGGTCTTCCTGCTTTCTCCAGTTAGACCCCCAAGGGAAGCTGTAGGCTCTTGTATGAGTGACAGGGCAGGTGCCCAAGGTGAGGGGTGTCCAGCCTGTACTTCATGGTCTTCCCTCTCCACAGGCCTTCTTGACTTAGGTGGCCAGGTGCTCCCTGACTCCTTACCGTCGGCCCCTGCAGAGCAGCTGCCTCACTTCCTGCAGGAGCCACAGGATGCCTACATTGTAAAGAACAAGCCTGTGGAACTACACTGCCGTGCCCTCCCCGCCACACAGATCTACTTCAAGTGCAATGGTGAATGGGTCAGTCAGAACGACCACGTCACACAAGAGAGCCTGGATGAGGCCACAGGTGAGGCCTACCTACCGTGCCTGGCTCCTCCGGGCCTCAGAGAACCAGGGCTCCCTCACCCTCCCACACAGTGAGTGGCCAGTCTTGCACTGTGCACCAGACAATATTCAACCCTGGTATTGTCTTTCCATAACTTTCCATTGGAGAAAAATGGTACCATTTTCCAGTTATGGCCATGACAGAAGTTGTTCCTGGTGTAATAGGAATGACTCGCCTGTGCTGAGTCATCCTTGTCAAGATATTTGGGACCAGAAGTATTTCTAGATTTCAGTGTTTTTTTTTTTTTTTTTTTTTTTTGCCTTAGAATATGCTCAGATTCTAGCAGATTGTGAATCAGATAGTCCCCCCCCCCAAAAAAAAAAAGTAACATTCAAAATGTTCCAAAATCTGAAACTTTTGCAACTTTCTGTCAGCCCTTGGAAGATTTTGGTTCTGGAAGGTTTTGGGGTACAGCCCTGTAGCCTTAGCCACTCAGGAGGTTGAGGCAGGAGGATGACAGGTTCAAGTTTAAGTGAAAAGAAGGGCTCAGTGGCAGAGTGCTTGCCAGTATTCACAAGGCCCTGGGTTCAATTCCCTATGTGGCAAAAATAAAATAAAATGGAATTGGAAGATGGCTTGGTGGGTAAAGTTGCTTATCTTACAACCTGAGCTCAGTCCCTGGACCCACATGATAGAAGGAGCTGACTCAGAAAACGGTCCCCTGACTTCAGATGCATGCTGTGACAAGTGCGCACGAGCATACGTACAAACATACTAATTAAGATTTTTTTTTTTTTTTTTACTTTTTTTTGTTTTGTTTTTCGAGACAGGGTTTCTCTGTGTTGCTTTGGAGCCTGTCCTGGAACTCGCTCTGTAGATCAGACTGTCCTGGAACTCACAGAGATCTGCCTGCCTCTGTCTCCCGAATGCTGGGATTAAAGTGTGTGCCACCAACGCCCGGCTACTGAATGTAAAGATATTTTAAGTAATAAAATTTCACATGCTTTTAATCCCAGCCAGGAAGCAGAGGCAGATTAATCTCAGATTGAGGCTAGCCTGGTCTAGGATAGCCAGGGCTATGCAGAAAAACCCTGTCTCAAAAAACAAAACCAAATAAATTTGGGGGAGTATTTTGGATTGCAGGTTGGGGGTGCTCTAACCTGTAAATATTACAGGAATGATCAAACAAGTGGTACTGGGTTGCAGCCCAGACCCTAAGGAAGGACAATGACTGAACCTCAGGGATGGGCACACAAGGGCCCTTCCTGCTGAGGTGAGGCCCACCCTGCTGCCAGTGCCCCAGGCTCAGGGAAGGTGCCTTTCTCCAGGCCCTGTCACTGGTGTGAGAGCCCTGACAGAATGCTTTTCCCAGAGCATAGACCTAGGAAGAGAGCACACACAGGTGTTCACTGACAGACAGGGGGACGAGACAGGCAGCCCAAGCCCAGCATCTGGCTGGCTCTCTCCCGTTTCTGTCCCTCGGGCATGCCTATTGCTCCCTTCTTAGTCTGTGTCTGTGTCTCCTCTACCTTTTTCCTCCTGACCCTGCCACCTTCTTTCTCCTTCAATTCCTGTTTTGCCTTGAAAAGCCCCGATTTCAGGCCCACCCAGTTGTAAAGCTACACCCCAGACTTATCCACCACTAAGCGCTGCTCCTGAGGTTCAGTCGCAGGTGTGAGCATGGTACCAGCATTCTAAAATAAAGACTTCATATTCCACTCTTGTCTAAAATCTGGTGAATAAAAGAATTGGAAGCAAAGCAAGACAAGCAGGCTTGTCAGTCCTTGACCTTTGAGAAGCTGAGGCAGGAAGATGAAAAGTTCGAGGTCAGCCCAGGTCCACATAGTGAGATCCTGTCTCAATAAAAACTGAAGAGAATAGTTTAACCCACCACCCAGACGATATCACTCTGGCTGTGTGACTGTGGGGTGGTTACTCAGCCTCTCTGAGCCCCATGTGCTTCCTTCTGTTAGCAGGAGGTTCCAGCAGGGAGGTAGCTGTAGTGCCAGACAGGCCGAGAACCAGGGCCCTCTGGGCCCTGCCAAACACCTCTGCATTCTGCTGGGGTTGTCCTGGCCTCTTACAACCAGTCCTTACTTCTTTGGCCCGTGAGTCCCTTCTCGTCCCCAGTCGGGGAAAGCCATGAGTTCTAGCCAAAGCAAGACACAGTTTACCTGCTGGGGCCCTCAGATGGTGGCCCATGGTGGTAGTAACAACCCCATGGTCCCTAATGAGATAACATTATAGAGACCCTTTTAGCCAAGCAAGGGGATTAAACTTCATCCTCCAGGCTAGGAGGTTAATGAAAGACTTTAAACAAAAAGTATGAAATGACCACATGGCTCTTGTTCCTGCTATCAAGACCACATGGAAATTGAGGTTCTTTTGGACCCACTAGTTGTGCCTAGTGGTGCCACAGCCCATGCATGGGAAGGCAGCTGTTACTAAGACGAGAGAGAAGACAGGCCTACTTTCAGCTCCCTGGGCATAGAAGGGACAGAAGAGTTCCAGGCAGGAGGCAGTGTGCTGAGGTCCTGTGGAGGACCTGGGTCTTTCTTCTGAGGGAATCTGTGGAACATGTGTGTTCTTGACATGTCCAGGCTAGTTGGGTGGTGAATGGGGTGAATGGGTCTGACGATACAGAAGGCTGGCATTAGCTTTCACGCAGACCTGGGGAATGGCTCCAAATGGAAGCCTGTAGGATTCTGCAGGGGAGACACAGGCTGAGGTGGAAGGGAGGTGGCATCTTCCCCTGTCACTGAGGACCCGGCTTCTCTCTCCCAGGCTTGCGGATTCGAGAGGTGCAGATCGAGGTGTCTCGGCAACAGGTGGAGGAACTCTTTGGGCTGGAGGACTACTGGTGCCAGTGTGTAGCCTGGAGCTCTTCAGGAACCACCAAGAGTCGCCGAGCCTACATCCGCATTGCTTGTATGCTACCTTGATTTCCCCACTCTATCTCTCCACTGATGTCAGAGAGAAATATCCACTAAAGGGACAGCATGTGCATGCCAGCTCAGATGGGCTCTTACACCCAGAAGCCAGGCCTCAGGTCCCAGGGTTGCCAGCAGTCTTTGCCACCTGTGAAAGGAAGCCAGAAGCTTCTAGGCAAGGTCCCAGAGTCAGGGAGCAGACCCGGTTTCCCTGGTGAAGAGAGCCTGTAAACAGGTCTTTAGATATACTCTGACCCCTAGTGGCCACAATGGGCACTTCATGCTCCCATCCAGCACTCACCAGTTAGTTACACTTGACTTTTCTCTCAGACCTGCGCAAGAACTTCGATCAGGAGCCTCTGGCAAAGGAGGTGCCATTGGATCATGAGGTCCTTCTGCAGTGCCGCCCACCGGAGGGAGTGCCTGTGGCTGAGGTGAGGGGGATGTGCTTCTGCTTCTCCTGCACTCCACTCACACCAGACCTCGTCCAGCCCTGCAACCTCACTGGAAGACAAGCCCAGGGCTCCTTGGGTAGGCTCCAGCTGAGTCCCTGCATAGACCCAGGAAACCACAGGTTTCAGTGTGTATGCTTGGATGCCCACTCCCTCAGCTAGATACCACCTTCCTCTTTGCCCGTACATGCCCCCACGCTGGTATAGAAGTCTAAAGAGGCATGTGGTTTTGCACCGAAGGACAGACCTCTTACTTGGGACTCAGCTGTCAAGCCCCCAAACTTTGTACTGGTTTCCTAGGTTTCTTCTTGTGCCCTCCTGGGCAGTGGGTGCAGTGGGCTCCTGAATGGTGATTGTTAACTGTTGGGCTTTGGTCTCCTCAGCAGCCCTGCGATGTGGACGAAGCCAACCCTTTACAGATGGGAGGGATGGTGTGACCTAGGTTGTGACTGCTAGTGCGTAGCAGAGCGGAGGACTAAACCTAGGGGTCCTGTTGTGGGAGCTTAGGCTGGGACAGACATGAGCAGCCTGTGTGTGTTTAGTATTCTCTGAGCCCAGCGTGTCTGTCACATTCACCCCTGCCCCATGGGGTGAGTGCTGTTCAGGGTCCATCTTACAGTTGGTAAAGTTGAGGCCCTGTGTCTTCCAAGATCACTCCGCTGGTAAATGATGTTCCCCACAGTGGTGCTGGTACCTGTTGCTACCAGGCGTGACCGTAGGCATGGACATGGGCAGGACCTGAATTCTACCTATGCTTGGCCCCCTCCTTCTGCAGGAGGCCCATCCTCAGTGCCAGCTGGCAGACAATGAGTCCTCACTTCTCCCTCCACAGGTGGAGTGGCTCAAGAATGAAGATGTCATTGACCCCACTCAGGACACCAACTTCCTTCTCACCATTGACCACAACCTCATCATCCGCCAGGCTCGCCTATCAGACACAGCCAACTACACCTGTGTGGCCAAGAATATTGTGGCTAAGCGCCGGAGCACCACTGCCACCGTCATTGTCTACGGTGTGGATGGAGGCCTTGCTGGGATATACTGTGGTTATCCTAGGTTTCCTCTATGGTGGGAGCTCTCAGGTTCTAGGGGGAGGCCTGAGGCAACACATCCCACCTATCCTGACCTGCAGGAGGCCAGTGGACCCCCTGAACTGTATGGAGAGGCAATCTAGAGAGATAAGTGGCCAAGTCAGGCACTCTGGGTCCCCAGTTAGGAGTACTCCCTACTTCTCAGGGCCCCTTGACCACCTCTAAAAAAGACCCACATCTCCTGAGTTAAGCCCAAGGTAGTGTCATAACTGGATTTTCACACTCATGTCATTTTGTCCCAGTAAGGATGCTATCTAGGCCTGCACACTGCTCTCTGCTATTTTTTTTTTTTTTTTTTTTTTTGGGTCCAAAGATAGCGGGAAGAGTCATAGTGACAGTGACTAGAAAGCACTAAGAAGTCATCTCCTGGGATTCAGTCCTAGGCCAAAGCCCAGGTATCCCTCCAGCCTTCCTGTGTCACTGTACAATAGGCCAGGGTTAGACAGTGACCTCCTAGGCTCTTTGAGGTGCTGAAAGTGGTGTCTCAGTGCCCAGCCCCAAAGTGGCTGATTAGTAAAGGTAGGTGATGGGTTTGAAATACCTGGAGGAACCCAGATCAATGCTAACTGTGTGATGACCCGTCCCCACAGTGAATGGTGGCTGGTCCAGCTGGGCAGAGTGGTCACCCTGCTCTAATCGATGTGGCCGAGGCTGGCAGAAGCGTACACGGACCTGTACCAACCCGGCCCCACTCAATGGAGGTGCCTTCTGTGAGGGACAAGCCTTCCAGAAGACAGCCTGCACCACAGTGTGCCCCGGTAGGAGTCACAAGCCCACCCAGACTCCTCTGCCTATGGGATGTGTATAGAGTTGGGGTGGTACCTTCCCCGTGAGTTCCCCCTGAGCAAGGAAGTGTCCAGACCCCAGGTCCTCAGCATACTCTGTTGCCTCTAGCATCTGATTCTGTCCCAAGCTACTGGAGAGCTGGAATCAGAGGCAATGAGCTGAAGCTACATAGGGCTCCTCACTTCAAGAGCTGCAGGGGTCCCAGAGAGCTCCCTGAATGTATCTGTTGAGATGCCTGTTGGCTGTCTGTCTTTCCCCTTCTGTAGGTTCATCAACACCCCCCCCCCCAGGACAGCTATGCTTGTCCTTTGGTTGTGTATATGTGACTGTGAGCTGATTTCTCACCCTGGTTTTAGACTCTGTGCTAGTAACCTTAAGTATCTTTGTTCTTGTCTATTGAGTGCATCTAACTGTCCCTTGCCTGTAGCAGTGTGGGTATGCTATTTATTGGTTTACTGATTGGCATGTATGTTGCATGCATGTATGCGTTGTTGTTATTGCTTCTGTGTTGCTGTTGGAATGCATAACTGCATGTGCTGTGCTCCCACAGTGGATGGAGCATGGACTGAGTGGAGCAAGTGGTCAGCCTGCAGCACAGAGTGCGCGCACTGGCGCAGCCGTGAATGCATGGCGCCCCCACCCCAGAACGGAGGCCGTGACTGCAGCGGAACACTACTTGACTCCAAGAACTGCACCGATGGGCTGTGCGTGCAGAGTGAGTGGTCTGGAGTCAGGTGACAAACCCCTCTGCCCCTGCCTAGCCTTGGGCCACTGTGCCCACCTGAGCAGAGCAGCCCGTAGGGCCTCTGTCCTTCATCTCACCCATACCATGCCCCATTACCTTCTCTACCATCCTTTTTCTGTCACCTGTGTCATCGTCTTTCCCTTTATTTCCCTTGACAGATAAGAGAACTCTAAACGACCCTAAAAACCACCGTAAGTCCCATTTCATGACTGTCCTCTTTCTTCTGGGGATCCCTGGCTTTCCCTGGCTGGCTTTCCATGGGTGTGGGGTATAAGGCAGGGAGAGTTGACTTTTATTTCTCCCCAGTACAAACCCATAGGATCCCTGTACCTCATGCATTTTGCCACACTCCCATCACAGAGAGGCTAGCAGACTCTTGGCTAACAGAAAGGCCCCAAGATTCCCCCTTACCCACTTGTTATAGAATAGCAAACTGAACCTCAGAGAGGAGAGGAAATTTATCCAAGGAGCAAACCAGGAAATAGCTGAACCAGGACTTGAACCCAAATATGTTTGTGGCCAAAGCAGACAGCCATAATCACTCTCCTTCCTCTCTGAGACATGCCAGGAGACAGTGTCATGCCTGTCTACCTCTGCCCCACACTGTACAGTGACACTGCTCTGATTCAGCTCCCAAGGGACTCCTCCTGCCCCTGGGACTCTTGCCGCTGTGACTGCAATATCAGAGCAACACAGCCTCTCCCTCAGACCAGCCTGTGGTAATTAAAGAACAATTTCAGATCATTCTGGTATCATAAAACCTGCAGGGAAGGCTTCAGCCCAGCACCCCGAGAGGCCAGGCTGGTGGCTGATGAGAGAGTATAAATCGCCAAGCAAGTGGCCCCCAGTGTGAGTGAGGACATTAGAGTGTGAGAGCCAAGCTTAGGGAAGAGCCTGCTCCTACTGGGACAGGGGGTCCGGGGAGGGGGCATGTCAGCCCTGAAGAAGAATCTCTAGTAGTTCCCTGGTTGCCAGGATGCTCTGGGGATCCCTAGTGAGGACTGGTAGGCAGTGTGGAAAATGAGCAGATTCCCAGAGCAGGAACCCATGGCCTCCATCCTATGTGGCATGGGCCATGGGTGTGGACGGCTAGCCATTGAACTCAGGCTACCTCTCCCAGAGTTCCCTGTTTCTAATGAAGTACAGGTCTCAAAAGAAACAAGGTCAAAGAGCAGCTGACTGGTGGCGCCCATCTTGGCTGTGCCTGAGCTGGCTGATGTGATAGTTGCTCACTGCAGGTGGCTTTTTAAATTCATATTTCACATTCATTAAAAAAAACAAAACAAAAAACCCACAGCTCCTCAGTCTCACTGGTCACAGTTCAGTTTCCAGTAGCCACATTTGTCTACTTGAGTACACAAAGGATGGTGTGGACAGGATAGCCACATCCTCTTAGAATGACCAACCAGTGGGCCCTACCTCTGACCTTGCCACGTTTCTGCCAGGCCATGAGTTACTTGCAACAGCAGCGCCCCCTGCTGAAGGAAGGAGGTGTAGCCGGTGGGTGGCCTCCCCAATTCCATCTCTTCGCCCATCTGCTCACCACCTCTCCATCCATTGCTTTGCCTCTCACACCACACTCCTTCTACCTTCTCCACCTCCCATCCTTGGCGTAGCTGAGGTGACTGAGAAGATTTCAGGGAACCAGGGCTTTTGGTCATATGGAAGAGTTGTAGTCTTGGAACGACATTTTGCATTTAGCTGGGATTATGTGCCCTCACATTTCTGAGCCCCACACCCCTGGCTCCAGCAATGAGCCATGAGTGAACTTGTGAATCAGACCTATTGCTTGAGTTACCTTCGGCACTATACTGGGAGGGTAGGCAACAGGGCAGGGACCTGTGACAATTTTCTGAGGAAGGGATGGACTTAGAGGGTTGTGAGGCTCACCTGAGGCCACTGTTGTGTCTTGGCAGGTGAAGCTTAGAATCTAGATTTTCCTTGGGACCCTAAAGGGCCTGCCCCTCACTTATTCCTACCGCTTTTATAGTTCTGGAACCCTCAGGAGATGTGGCACTGTATGCAGGCCTCGTGGTGGCCATCTTCGTGGTTGTGGTAGTTCTCATGGCAGTGGGCGTGGTGGTGTACCGAAGAAACTGCCGGGACTTTGACACGGACATCACCGACTCCTCTGCTGCCCTCACTGGTGGTTTCCACCCTGTCAACTTCAAGACTGCAAGGCCGAGTAAGGACCTGGAGAAGCCTGGGGTAGCAGGAATGGCTGGGGGGAACCTCAGATCTGTGTAGCTATCACTGAGCTGGGTCCTGACAGCTCCCTGATATGTTTCCTCATTTGTCTAAGGCTCCCTGTGACTGGCAAGTAAGCCTTCTGTGACTAGACATGTGGAGAAGACGGAAGGCCCAGAGGGGACAGAGTGGGCGGGGCCAGTGTGGTGAGGAGTGGGGGAGCTGATTCTGACTCTCACATTCACCCCTGCAGACAACCCACAGCTCCTGCACCCGGCCGCCCCTCCAGACCTGACAGCCAGTGCTGGCATCTACCGTGGGCCCGTGTATGCCTTGCAGGACTCTGCTGACAAGATCCCTATGACTAATTCACCCCTGCTGGATCCCCTGCCCAGCCTTAAGATCAAGGTCTATAACTCCAGTACAACCGGCTCTGCATCTGGCCTGCCTGATGGAACTGACCTGCTAGGTGTCCTACCGCCCAGCACATACCCAGGCGATTTCTCCCGGGACACCCACCTACTGCACCTACGCAGCGGAAGCCTTGGTTCCCAGCAGCTCCTGGGCGTACCGCGAGATCCCAGCAGCAGCCTCAGTGGCACCTTTGGTTGCCTGGGTGGGAGGCTGAGCATTCCTGGCACAGGTAGCCATTGGTCCTATTGTTGATGGGAAAGTGAAGCTCAGGGCAGATTACACATAGAGAAGTCTAGTAGAAGCCCTGGCCTCAGGCCTACCTGGGCCTCTCTAGGCCAGGGGAGTCTTAGCTCAGCCACTTGGAGGGACCTCATTGCCCTTGTCAGGTTGGGAGAATGGCTCTTATCATTACAGTTCCACAGAGAGGTCCTAATTTTGGTTGGCAGCAGGACAGGGATGCCCATCTTGACTTGTGAAAGTAGCAGCTGGCAGCTCTTCAAGGTGCTGTCCCAAGCCAGCGTGGAGCTAGCACAGGGGCCTTCTCTCTCTCTCTCTCTCTCTCTCTCTCTCTCTCTCTCTCTCTCTCTCTCTCTCTGTGTGTGTGTGTGTGTGTGTGTGTGTGTGTGAGAGAGAGAGAGAGAGAGAGAGAGAGAGAGAGAGAGAGCAGATGTTACAGGCCTGTGTCCCGTCTGATCCTGGGCAGACCAGCTGTGTGGCCTGGCTGTGCCCTGTGTCTGCCACCACTTCTCTCCCTAATCTATAGTCTTTCCCTTCCCTAAGCTGGAGCCAGGTCCCATCTCATTCTTATCACCTCTGTCTCCTCTGGCCCTTTCTGATGAGACCTTCCCTTCCTCCCTAGGGGTCAGCCTGTTGGTGCCAAATGGAGCCATTCCCCCCGGCAAGTTCTATGAGATGTATCTACTTATCAACAAAGCTGAAAGCACCCTGTGAGTAGACACTCCAGCCTGGCCAGGCAATGCTTCTTTTCCTCTGCCCACCCCAGACACAGATATTTCCATTTGGAGCTTGGTCCCCGTTATCCAGGGTCCCCCAGAAAAAGTATGTACTAACTGGGTAAAACCCATTAGCAAGTCCTTTCCGTGTGAAGGGGATTTGTAAACAAGGGTATTGCTTCCTGGCCCATGCTGTGGCAAATGTCTATTAAGAACTTGAGGTGGGCATTAATTTGGGCTCACCATGGTGACAGCCCCTCTAGCTGTGGTCACAGGAGCATGAAGCATCCATGGTTGGAAGCAGAGAGGGGTGGGTGCTGGTGCCCAAGATTCCCCTCTCCTTTGCTTTCTTTTTCACTTGGTCTGGATCCCTAGTCCTTCAGAGTAGGGCTCTCCTACTGAACCCTCTCAGGGACACCCTCACAGATAGGCATGTCAGGGGAGCATCTCCTCGGTGACTCCAAATCCAGCCAAATTGACAGAAAAAATTAACTATCACAGTTAGCAAGGAAAACTAAACATTTCAGTTTGAACATGGGCCTAGAACATGAACAAGTGGTTCACATACACACATGCCATATATGTTTACATGCCATGTATGTTGTTTATGACAAGTCATTCCATCTGAATTATAGTCACAGAAAGTTCATGAAGCAACATGGATAGACATTAAGAGTTTGCTTAAGGAACCTGTAAGGATGTTTTCCTCAGGTTAATACTGCCACGCTTCCAAGAACATGGGCACACCACCTTCCTAACACACTGGTGATTATGTAGGTTGAGACCAGCTCTCCCGAGGGCAGTGTGACAGCTTGCAACCCAAGGGCAGTGTGACAACATGCATTAAGAATGTTCCAAAAGCTGGCTCATGAGACGTCTCAGTGGGTAAAAGTGCTTGCCAGCAAGCCTGAGTTGCATCCCCAGAGCCCACAGGGAGAGCTGACTCTTATAAGTTGTCCTCTTACACACACTCCAAAATGGTTTTATTGTTGTCTTTTGAGATAGGGTCTCACCCTGGCTGTCTGTCCTGGAACTCACTATGTAGACAGGCTGGCCTTGAACTCACATCAGCCTAAGTGCTGTGATGAAAGAGGAAAGGTGTATGCCACATTGTTCTTTTTTTTTTTTTTTTTTTTAATAACCTCAAATGGTTTTTGTGTATTTTGTTTGTTTTAGAGAAAGACCAGAGACCAGAATGTTCTATAAAACCCCTTTGAGACTGCACAAAGCTTTGGCTGAGACTGTTTTGATGTAACAGCAAAAACCTAGAATGCAATTCCCAGTTTATGCCATATCCCTACTTCTCACCCAGTTCTCCGAGCAGCAGAGACTTGCCTCAGCACAGGCTCTGGGGGCCTGCAGGGGTGGAGTGTGTCCCTGCTTCATGAATACTCCAGCCTTTGTTCACTGCTTCCTTCTGCCCTCCCCCCCCCCAGCCCACTTTCGGAAGGGACCCAGACAGTATTGAGCCCCTCGGTGACCTGTGGTCCCACGGGCCTCCTCCTGTGCCGCCCTGTCATCCTCACTGTGCCCCACTGTGCTGAAGTCATTGCCGGAGACTGGATCTTCCAGCTCAAGACCCAGACCCATCAGGGCCACTGGGAGGTGAGGCGCTGGGTGGAGTGGCTGACTCTCAGAACTGGCCCTCTCCTGACTCATCCCAGCCCACATGGCAACATCCTCTTCCCCTGCCTGTAGGAGGTGGTGACCTTGGATGAGGAGACGCTGAACACCCCCTGCTACTGCCAGCTGGAGGCTAAGTCCTGTCACATCCTGTTGGACCAGCTAGGCACCTATGTGTTCACGGGCGAGTCCTACTCCCGCTCTGCCATCAAGAGGCTCCAGCTGGCCATCTTTGCCCCAGCCCTCTGCACTTCCCTGGAGTATAGCCTCAGGGTCTACTGTCTGGAGGACACACCTGTGGCATTGAAGGTGGGAGCATGCAGGGGCAAAAGGCTAGCCCATCAGGGCGCACAGTCCCTGCCAGGTTTCTCTCTGGCACCAGCCTTCCATCATAGTCACTTGCTTCCATCAGACAGGGAACGAGGAGGCCACAGCTCCTGACTGGGGGACAGACCATGAAATCTCAGAGGAGTTTGAGAAAGTGCACCTCAGACCTAAGCCCTAGACAGCAAGATGTCACTCTGGGTAGAGGAGAGAGGAAGGACATGTCCAACAGGCAGAATGACTTTCTGCTGAGACAGGTGTGCAGCTCAGCATGTGTGGACAGTGTAGGGTGTGTGTCTGTGTAACCATGTAAGTGAGAGGGAGGGCTGGAGAAGCAGGCTGCTTGTTTAGTAAGCTCGGGTTATGCTTAGTAACTGGGATGCTGTCCAGTGGCAAGGGGCCCAGCTGTAGCAGACCCAGTTCACAGTTGCTCTGTAGAACGAAAGGGGTGTGTGTGTGTATGTGTGTGTGTGTGTGTGTATGTGTGTTGGTAAACAAGAGGCAAAGGCCACTTGGAAAGGTGGGGCCAAGTTCCAGATGGCAGGCAGTGGCAGTGGCCAGAAGATGAGGTTGGGCCTTGTGGTCGGTCAGTAGGATAGACCAGTGAGAATAGCCCAGGCTTCCAGCAGACACAAAGCAAAGCCAGTAGAGACCAGAAATGAGGGAGAGGCAAGGGCAGGTGAGGAGATGTTGCACAGAGATGGAAGGGAATAATGTCGGCAGATATGCCAACCTATGTAGGCACCCTCTGTCATACTGTCTCAATGCCACTGTCCCTTCCTCTCCGAATCCTGTCCCCATTCCTAGGTCATCCTAGCATGATACTAGAGGATATGAGTTGGCTGTCTTCTCCATCCTTCCAGTACTCTGAGAAGCCTCATGGTTCTTTCTGACAGACCGGACAGACCAAATGCCTCCCCCCAGCCCTGAGTTAGGGTCTCTCCTAGTCACGCTGTCTCTGAGTTGCATGTGGTTTTCTCAGGCTCTGTGCTGGGGACTGATGCAACATAGATGAAAATGCCTTGTGGGAGAAGGGACAGTCCCTGTGGGGACTGTACTACCCTGACATTCCAAGAGGCCTCCAAAAGGGGTGGGGGCACTACTGGCAATCTCCTGCAGCTGGTTCTGGTGGCATTGGAGCTGGCTAGTGTTCATCCTGGCCAAAGGGTGGTGTGAAGGTCAACAGGGAAATTGTCAGAGTCTGGACCTGATTGTATTCTTTCCTTGTTCAAGCCCATCTACTCACCCTTCCTTCCCACTCACTACCGTTTTATTCATCTTACCAATACACTTGGTAAACAGCCTACATGGCCATCCAGCTACTATCTGTCCCTTCACTAATGTATCTTTCCTTCCAAATACTCTTCTAGTCATATACCCACTCATTTGAATATTTATCTGTTAACCCACAATCCAACCAGTGATCCATTCAATCATTTGTCTGTCTGTCCATCCATCTCATCCATTCTCTGTGTTCACCTAGTCATATACTCAGTCAGTATCCTACCTGTATGTCCAACCCATCCCTACATGTGTCTAATTCTTAAGTTCCTGTTACCTGTATTCATCTGTTTATCCCTCTATATGTCCACCCATATATCATCTATCCAGTTTGTCAATTATCTGTTTCTCTAGCATAGCCTGGAAGCCTGCCTGTCTGTCTGTCTAGTCATCTATCTGTCATCTATCTATCTACATTATCCATCCACCCACTCATTTTCCATTCATCCACTCGTGTATCTGCCCATCCGTTCATCTGAAACACCTTCTTTTTAACTGGATCAGTTGGGCCTGGCCGCAGACTAGCAACTTGCAGTATAAAAGACCCGTGGGCCAAGGGTAACAAGTCCCTCCCACTGCCCCATCAACAGGAGGTGCTGGAGCTGGAGCGGACTCTGGGAGGCTACTTGGTAGAAGAGCCCAAGCCTTTGCTCTTTAAGGATAGTTACCACAACCTGCGCCTCTCCCTCCACGACATCCCCCATGCCCACTGGAGGAGCAAGCTACTGGCCAAGTACCAGGTAAGCACTGGATCTGTAGAGGGGCAGGGAGGAGCCACTACTCCATCCTTTGTAGTGAAGCAAGCACTGTTTCCCAGATCTCTCATTCCTGTCCTTCTCCCCACTCTGTCGTCCTCCATGCTTCCAGCCATCTTCAGGCCCAACCCCAACTGACAGCCACGTCTCTAGCCCCTCTTGCACCTCCTACCCATGCTCATCACCTCCACATCCCCCCTCAGGCCCTTTATACTTCAAATTGTTGGTCTGGGGCTGAACCCATCTAAACAAATACGAGCCTCGCAGGCTGATTCCGCTTATCTCTGGTACCCGTGTTTCTCTGTTCCATCTTGCAATATGTGCCACCCTTGAGGCCCTAGGTGCTCCATGCTCCTGCTTGCATATACACTCTGACATACACACATGCACACACTGTGTCTTCCCCTCCCTCCCATTTCTCAGCTCCCTCCCAGAACCACTCTACTCTAAAACCATCTCATAGAGAGGCCTGAATTACCCCTGGGAGGCCCAGCCCTCCTACTTCTGGCAAATGCCCAGGCTGGCTCACCTGCAGCACTGACCCTGTCTCTCCTGCAGGAGATTCCCTTCTACCACATCTGGAATGGCAGCCAGAAAGCCCTGCACTGCACTTTCACCCTGGAGAGGCACAGCCTGGCTTCCACTGAGTTCACCTGTAAGGTCTGCGTGCGGCAGGTGGAAGGGGAAGGCCAGATCTTCCAGCTGCACACCACACTGGCCGAGGTGAGAGTCAGTGACAGCCCAGGGGACTGAGGCTCGGGCACACACGCCTCATTCCCCAGCATCTCCCGTGAAGACTCCTCTTCACCTCCCAAGTCACAGCAGGGACTGGGTCACCTTGAGCAAGCAACCATCACTTACTGAGCACTGTTCACATGACATACATTACCATATCAAGTTGTCACACCCTTGTGGAGAGGGTTATGGTGGTCCCCGTGTAGAAGATGGGAGTCTCTCAGCTAGGGCTGTAGTTCACTTGTCAGTGCTTTCATAAGCACGCATGGTGTCTTAGTCTCTGCCACACCCTACACCAGGCATGGTGTACATCTGTAATCCCAGCACTTGGAGGCAAGAGGATCCAAGATGTCTTCAGCTACATTGTGAGTTTGAGGACAGCTTGGGCTACTTGAGGCCCTGTCTCAAAAATAAAATAAAAAGGTCTTAGGCAAGGGAGTATCAGTATCCTATACTTGGCCACCAGGCAAGGCTGACTTTGAACCCGGCCAAGGTAAGGACTGGCCTGAGGCTCTCAGCCATTAACTCCAAACTGAGCTTTAGACAAAGCCAGGACCCCTAAGATAACCAGTATAGTAGAAAGCACTCAACACAGGTCTCAAGCCAGCTCTGCCCCAGGTCCTCTTTAGATTTTTCTCCACCTGTAGCAAAACTGTTCTTCATGGTCTAGGCCATGGCCATGACTCCTGGGGCTTCCTCCTCCCAAAGCTAAGTCAGCATGTGCCCAGGGATGACCATAAGCTGATCATACCTGACATGGGGCACAGAGCAATCCTTGCCCTGCAGAAGTGAGTGGGTAGAGAGAACATAGAGGAGACAAAGGTGAATCTAGAGCCCAGGGCATCATAGGTGCTAGGTAAGCACTCTACCAATTAAGCTACAACCTCAATCCTTAAGCTGATATCCAGGCAGGGAGACTGGATGAGCTCCTGTCCTGTAATACTGGCTTTTTCATTCCCTTCCCTACCCTTCCAGACACCTGCTGGCTCCCTGGATGCACTCTGCTCTGCTCCTGGCAATGTTGTCACCACCCAGCTGGGACCCTATGCCTTCAAGATACCACTGTCCATCCGCCAGAAGATCTGCAACAGCCTTGATGCCCCTAGCTCACGGGGCAACGATTGGCGGCTGTTGGCACAGAAACTGTCGATGGACCGGTGAGTATCCCAAGCCAGTCACCCCTGTTGCTTCTGTCCCCAAGGTCTGGCAGGGAAGCGGGGTGCATATCCCAGCAGACCAAGGTCAGTTCCCAGATCAGTTCCCCTTGTGCCACAATCGGTGACAGATCCACAGCTGGGTTTGTACACACTGAGTCTGAGGTCACTGTCACTCTGCCCACTCTCCCTTTAAGTGACTGCCACCACTCTCTAAGCCCTGTTCTTCCACAGTATAGGCAAATACTTTCGTGCCTATACAAGGGTAGATGCAGCCCTGATACCAGGTAGCCGTGGTCACCAGTGCCTCGATGCCCAGGCTCTTTTGGGGAACTCTGAATGCCAGATATATGTGGCAAAGGTGTTAAATAGTCACTTACTAGAAATTTTTACCCACTGGCCTTAAGCAGGTAGAAAAGCTGGCTCAGTCAGTGAAGCACTTGGCTGTGTAAGCATAAGGACCTGATGAACACATGAAAAGGAGCTGTGCTGACACACATGTAAATCCCAGCACTGAGGAGAGGGAGGCAGAAGATTCCCGAGATAAGCATTCCAGCCAGTCTAACTGAACAGTGAGCTCCAGTTCAATGAGAGACCCTGCCTCAAATGAGTTGGATGATGTTCCTGAGGATAACACAGGAGATTGTCCTTTGACCTACACACACACACACACACACACAAGCGCATGTGTTAAACATTATTATTATTTTGGGTTTTTTGAGACAGGGTTTCTCTGTATAGCCCTGGCTGTCCTAGAACTTGCTTCGTGGACCAGGCTGGCCACTCACAGAGATCCACCTGCCTCTGCCTCCCGAGTGCTGGGATTAAAGGCATGCGCCACCACCATGCCTGACTTGGTTACTAGAAATGGGAGGGGCTTAGAAAGATCAGTGAGACCATGCTCCTATTCTCAGAGGAGCTCGTGCTGCAGGATCAGGCCCAGAATGAAAGTGAACGTCAGGGTGAGTGTGGCATGCCAGCCAGGAAGATCTCTCAAGGTCCCAGCATCTTTTGATGGTAGTGATGAACAAGATGAGAGGGTGCTTTGGGTGAGCATGGACCTCACCAGCAGTGTGAGGAGATGCAGGAGACAACTCTTCCTCTCTGTGGAGTTGGTCGGGCACTTTAAAGGGGGTAAAGATGGATCTTGGTCCACAGTTCCAGAAGGTTTGGTTCCCACTCAGCCTTTGCCACTGCTGTACATCAGAGCAGATCTGACCAGTGTGGCAGGAGGCTACCTCAGAAGTAGACTGGAAGGGCCAGGGCAAGACGTGCCCCACCTTCCACAGGTCCACCTGTGGCCAACCATCTATTTAGATGTCACATACATGTGTTTAGAATGTGTGCATGCATGTAGCGCACTTTGCATGGAGCCAGGGAACAACCTCAGGTGTCAGGTTGCTCCTTCCACCTTGTTTAAGATGGGGTCTCCTTGTTCTGCTGTGTGTGCCAGGCTAGCCCAGAAGCTTCTCCCTGTCTCTATTTCCCATCGAGTGGGATGCCCAGAGAACACTAGGATTATAGGCATTTGTGCTATGCATATGACTTTTATGTTGGTTCCAGGATTGAACTCCGTGTTCACATTCACCAATGGAACTGTCCTGTCAGCCCTTATTCAGATGTTGAGCCCCTCCGTGGGTTTATCTTTGATGAATGTAGATGAATGACCCAGGCACTTGCTCAAAGCCCACCTCTAAACACTGCTTGTAGGAAGTCCAGCCGTCCAGCCGTGAGTCTTCTCAGGATTACTGCATTCCCAGACTCTTAACAGGAGATAGCTGATCTCATTCCTATTTGGAGAGGGGATGAGTCTTAGAGGGTACACTGATTTGCATAGAGCTGCACAGCCTACAGTCAGAGGAGATGGGATCAGACCCAAGGCTCTGGAGCCCACACTTCCCACCACCCAGATCTTCTCAGCTCACAGGCTGATCACCTCAGGGGAGCTAACTTTACTCTTTCCTTGCCACAGGTACCTGAATTACTTTGCCACCAAAACTAGTCCCACTGGTGTAATCTTGGACCTCTGGGAAGCTCAGCAGCAAGATGATGGGGACCTCAACAGCCTGGCCAGTGCCTTGGAGGAGATGGGCAAAAGTGAGATGCTGGTTGCCATGACTACTGACGGGGATTGCTGAGTGCTTGTGACCATGGGCCAGTGGAGACCAGTATGAGTCAGTACAAGGTGGCTTAGCAGCCTCACCGTGTCCTCACCGTGGGGGGTGTCCAGCCTCTGCCATCCCTGGCTCACAGCTGGAATGGTCCCTCACCTCCTCTCCCTGCCACACCCTCAGACCACCACCAGCCTTAGAAAACCTCTTTGCTCTACTGCTGAGAGGCCGGGATCCTCTGCCCCACCGTCTCCTGGCTCATACTGGGATGGACTGAGGCCTCTGGGGCAGCCTAAGGCCAGAGGCTTTCCCCTGTCACAACCCAGCACCCTCAGCCCTGTGACTTTGGTGGCCCACAGGTTTCAATTCTGTGTTCGTATCATCCCTGGCTAGGGACCTCTCTCCTGTCCTGGGTCCTCTTTGAAAGGTTGAGTTGAGTTCAGACTAACTGCTGGCTCCAGTCAACAAGAGAGAGAAAGAAAGCTTCAGAACTCTGAGCAAAAAACCACAAGGAAAAAAAAAAGCCCAGTTTCTTAGGAAACGAAAATGATTTATTATCCAGCTCCTTGGATAGGTCCTTTTTAAGAAAAATCAAACAAAAAAGTAAGAATAGAAAAAAGAGGGGTCGGGGCACTTTTATTCTCCAGTGTGTTTAAAGATGGGTAGGTGGGTAGGTATGCTTGTGACTTGGGCCACAGGCAAGTGCATTCTTGGCCACATGTGTGCACATATGTGTGCATGCCTAGGTGTGGACAGGGAAGTGCTTTGCTACTCTTGAACCCATTGTGGACTAGATTCTGACAATGCCTCAGTTTCCCCAGCTGTGTGGGGTTTCAGCCATGATGCTGAGTTCTAAAAATGCAAGCAGAAGCTGGGCCCCGGTGCTCCTCCCACCCTGCAGAGCCCCAGGCAGGTGCCCCTGTGGCCTCCTGGGTTTCAGAGAATCCGCTTGGAGGCCCAGGCTGGCCGTGACCTGGGGAGACAGTTCAGGTCTCTTGCCCTAGTGATTCCTGGTCTAGTAATGTAGCCCAGAGGCGAGGCTCCTGCAGAGAGGGAGGGGGCCTCCAGGTTCCCTCTGAGGCTGGATGGCTTTGTGTCTAGGTGGGCACTGCACCCACCCTGCACCTCTAGTTCTTGGTTCACCCCGCTTGCTCTCCTGCTAGGGTCAGGAGATATGAAGGTAGCTATGGAGACTGGGCATGTCCTGGGCTTTGAAAGTTGGGACTTACAAGGGGAAGCAGATTTCATGGTCATAGACGCAGAAAGTGTCTGTGTCCTGGCTTCTCCACTGCCGCTCCTGAGGTGGGGCTCCGAGATTGAGACCAAGATGTCCTTGCACCTAGGTGAAAGCTGCCTCACACAGTGGCTCTTCCTGCCAAAGATGCCCCTCCCTGTGGGCATGTTCTTGCTGGTCACTGTTGGCCCATGCACAGAAAGGGCCTCTGTCCCTTATGGGAGTCAGAAGACCAGAGACCAAGTTCTAGTTGTGCTGTGTGACTTTGGGCATATAACCACCTTCTCTGAGCTCTCCTGTCCTTTTTATCCTGGAAGCTCTGTGAGGCCTCTTGGTGGGGGACTCTCACTTTTCTGGGCTTCAGAGGGGAATCAAGTAGAGAGAAGCTGATTGTGGTCTGTGGGCCCTGATAGGAACACTTGGCAAATAGGTCCCAGTTAGCTAGAGCCTGGAATAGGACTTCAAGTGGACAGTTTGGTAGCAGCAACCCAGGTAATGCCAACTGTGGGCTGAGCCAGGGCTCTTGGGTTGGGGTTGGGTTTTCCACTCCTGCCTTCAGTGATCTGGAGCCTCGTTTTCCCCTTCTGACCAGCTTGGTCTTGCTGGGTCCTGCAGGGTATTTGTTTGTCATCTTGGGTATGTGTGTGTTTACAAGTGTGTGTGTGTGTGTGTGTGTGTGTGTGTGTGTGTGTGTTTGTGTGTTTGTGTGTGTGTACCTGTGCTTTTCAACTTGGGCACATCAGGGCACCCCTCCCAGAATGCACATATCTGTTCCCGCATGTGGACATGGCCTCTGTGCCCAGGATTGTGCCACTGGAGGTGGGTACACCTGTTGGCTGCCCCCGAGTCACAGGGTCAGTCAGTGTATCTCCTATGTGCCTCTCCTGCCCTCTCTTATGGGGCCCATGATTCTGTGCTCTGGCCAGACACCTCCTGAGGGATGGGGCCCCTCCTCATCCCTGATCTTCCAGGGCCCTCTGGACCCCATCTTGAAGCTCCCAGGTATCTGAGAAGTGGCTGGGAGCTTGGATGCAGGGGTGTGAACATGGCTCCATGACCCTGGATTCCAATATGTGGGGATGATCCCAGCCCCACCCATTCATTCTGTAAACAACCTGTAAATAGTCTTTAGCATTCCTCTTGTAATGAGATTAATTTTTATGAAATAAATTATATTTCTTAGTCTAATTAAAAAAAAAAAAATCCAGGTCCTGGTCTGATGTGTTCTTGGTGTCTTTTAATGGCAGTTGGGTGTGACTGTTTTGTTCTTCCCATAATTCCATAGCAATTCAGAGCTTCAACCCTTGATCCAGCTCAACAACCTCACCTTACAGAAGAGAAAATGGGCTTTCTCACAGTTGCACAGCAAGTTAGGTCCTCATGAAGAGCCTGGACCTCACCCTGCTCACCACTCAAGACCTAAAGCTCAGAGCCTAGGTGGGAGGGATGATGGACTAAGGCCAGCACCCATTTGCCTCACCTTTCACAAGGATGTGCCCCAACTGAGGGTGGAGAAAGGGGATCAGATCAGTGTGTCAACCTGTGGTGTGAGGATGCTGTACAGGCAGAATGCATGACATGAACACACTGGGATTGTGTGGCTGGGTACAAGGCACAGCTGAGCAGTTTACCACCCAGAGAATACTCCATCTAAGGAGGGTGGCAGCATTCCCACAGGACATTGTGTGTTCTCCCAGCAGGTGGCAGAGGGGTCACATTTTATTTTTCATGACTGATAGTTACCTCCATTTAAATTGGTCCCCATAACCCTGTAGATCTCAGCCTCACCCTGTGAGTTGGGTCTGGTTGGGAGTTCCCAGTCCTTGTTGCCTCTAGCTCCTTGAGTTTGGAGGATCATGGTGCCCACCACACACTTAAGGGTGGTGCCACCTAGTGGTAAGACCCTCATCTTACATTAACGGAGTGTCTCCAGAGATGGCGCTGGGGCCATCTCAGTGTGGAGAGCATGTGAGGCAGGTCTGAGGTGAGAAGTTAATAAGAAAAGGGAAATCATGTGTCTCCGGTGTGTCTATGGTCTTGTAGGGAGGCAGGGCACAAGTGTGTATACACCTCCGCATTCACTACCTGGGCTGTCAAGACCAGAGACAGCCACATTCAGTGAATTTCTAGGCCCCAGAAGCTGTGGTCTTAAAATGCAAGGAGAATTTATTGATCTGACAGGCAGATGGACATGTCCTGGAAGTGAGGCATGGGGAGAGAGACAGATTGTCTGCGACTAGTGAGATGGAGAGGACAGACTTGTGAAGCCCAGTGGCTGGCATCGTGAGAAAACAGGGAGGACAAACTACTGGGACAAAGGGGCCTCCCAAGCCACCATTAACTATAGCTCACAGAACCGGGGCCTTTTTAGACTGAGGTTTAAGGCCGGGTGAAAAAAGCAGCACTATTCGGGGAGGGGAGCTTTGTAGTGGAGACTAAGTCTCCACTAAGGCAAAACTGCACAGATGCCATTGAGCCACAGCAGAATAGGGGCGCTAGGGCTTGGTGTGGACTTTGGCGTGAAGGAAAGGTTCTCAGAACCTCCTGGCCCTGCTGGGTACTGTGGTTAACACATTCTGCCCTGTGGGGTCAATGCGCCACAGGGACAATAAGAAAGCTACCACTAGGTGAAGCCTGAAAACCGATGCAGTTAGAACCAAGAAGGATCTGGTGCAAAGCTCTGAATGTTCCTGATGTTTCTGTCGGCAACCCAGGGAGCTTGGAATACTTTTTTTCCAGGCAACCTAGAAGCACCCTCCTCTGGTATGAAATTGGAATAGCAGTGAGATAACGTTGGATCACAGAAATATCGCCATTGGAACCAAATGGTGGTGAATTAACATCCATAAAAAAATGAAAACAATCTAGAATTCCAGACCTTGTGACGAGAACGTTCTCTTAAAAATGTATTTATCTGTAATGTGTATTAGTGTGCACATGTGCCACAGTGTGGAGGTCAGAGAATAACTCCGCATAGCTGGTTCTCTCCAACCACCACATAGGTTCCTGAACCCTTACCCACGCAGTTATCTGGTGACCCTGGAAGCTGTCCTTATAAAGGCTAGCAGACTACCTCGACAGAAACAGAAATGATTTTAGGTGGTGACAAGCCTGGGAGCAGCTGGGTGAGAGATAGTGGAAAGAGCATCTGGACAGAAATATCAGCAGCTGTGACAAAAAAAGGGGGCATCGCAGTGAGTTCCCAAATACTATAATTAAGCTACACAAGCCCCAGCAGGGAGTGTCTTGGGGGGGGGGGTCTCTGTGACACAGTTTCTCTGTCTTCTGTGATATCCTTACAAAATGATCTGGACACTCTCCACCTAGAGATGAAGATTAGCCAGGAATGGTGGTAATCCAAGTTACTAAGGTTTCGGACTCTAAGCAGGCCTAGGATGAAAGTAAAGGAGTGTCTCACGGATGGAACAGGGACAGAGGATTCAAGGGCCTGAGTCCCCTATAAGTCAGAATTTCTGGGGGAGCTGATGAGCCGGCATACAGCTAGGAGAGGTGACTTGAGTCACCTTGGGAGAGACGGATTAGAACTAGTTATTGTGGAATATTAGAAATATTTAGTATTTCGTCTGGGAGCCCTGGAACTCTGGCGGGTGAGTTGGGGTGATACTAATGGAGCTAAACCAGGAGCTTGTGCAGTGGCAGGAAAATGGCCACAAGATGGCAGCATCTACCGGTAAATCCTGATGGACGAGCTTGCCAGACTGACTCTTGAGAAGGTATTCCTAACATCTACCTGTATGGGGGGGGGGGGGGCAGGGATGGGGTGTGACTACATAGGAAGGTCCTATACTTTTTGTTTTGTTTCTCGGACAGGAAAAGTATCAACTAACTGTTGGAAATACGCATAGCAATTTTATGAATTTAATTTTTTAATAATTTTATTACTTTGTAAAGTTTCATAAAATGTATTTTGATCATACTCACCCCCACTCCCTATCTTCCCAACTTGCTGTGCTCTCTGGCTCATGATCTCCCTCTCTCTCAAATCATGGAGTTCAGTTTCTGTTGTCTAAATTCTCTTGAGTGTGGTGCCTCCTGGAGAGTGGTCAACCTCTCCTAGCATCTCTTGTAGTAGGAGTGGGATTCCCCTACCTTTCTCCCTCCACGATGGCTGAACTTTGCGCTGGCCTTGTGCCTGCTGTCACAACCCCTGTAAGTTCATATGTGCAATTTCCCTGTTGTGCCCCCCCAAACACTGTTTCCTTGCAGTCATGCACCACCCCTGGCTGT